AAATACAATTCTGTTGCGTTTACTAGCTTCCACCTCATGACAGAATCTCTCCAGACTGAACCCAAGTTCCCAAGCCAGCCAGCCACAACACTGTGAATTCCTTAGGGTGGTGCCAGTCTCAACTTCTCAAACTTCCCACGCTCCTGCTGGGGGCTAAGGAAACGCTTATCTCCCCGAGCGTGGCCTTCATAACACCGTTCCACCACAGTAGGGCCCCCACGAGGGAGGCTCTTTCCATTCCCCACTTGCCCTCCAGCTTAGCCCAGACATGCCCTGGCAAACCTTTCTTCTGCCATGCTCCTGTGATGCGCTTTCACCTTGCCCCAGCCCAGGAGCGAGGCTGACTGGTGCCCTCTTGGCCATCCCGGTGCCTTCTTCCCCGCGCTCAAGACCATCTGAGGGCAGCCTTGAGTGGGGGAGCCGTGAGACTCTGCACCCGCTGCCTGGAAGTGGGCTGGGGGGCTGCAGGGCCTGGGGAGGGAGGCAGGAGAGGGATGGCAGACGGGCCTCACGCTGGCAGCTTTCTCCCCACTCAGAGATGGGGGATGGCGCTGCTGCTCAGCAGGGGGAAGGCCTGTCCTCTGAAGGGAGAATGTTCGGCTGTTACTTGAGGATCTCTTCCCTTTACATAATTCAGAATAAAACTAACTGGCACTGAAGGCCCAGAGGGTCAAAACATCACAGGAGGAAAATGGCAAATGCTAAAACAGCCTTAAAGAAACCCAGCCCTTGGTAGATGGAAACCCAACGGGGAAAGCTCCCCTTCCCCCAGACCACGATGCCAGGGAGAACGGGCACCTGCCCACCTCTGCCCCAGAGGAGGCCCCCCCAGGTCTCTCCCCTGCAGGCTGCCACCTACCAGATGGGAGAGCTCCAGGATCCGAAGCAGGAACCCCACAAGGCATCCGGTCACCACGGAGAGCATGGACAGGGTCAGCAGGCCGTTCCTGCTCCAGAAGGCTTGCACCCTCTTCCAGGCGCCCTCCAGGCCAGGGGAGAGCGAGCTCAGCAGGGCTGCCTTCGGCTGTTCCCACATGGTGCCTCCAGGATCTCACCGAGGGCCAGAGCACCAGGAGGGCCTGTGGCAAGGCCTGGTCCCAGGAGCCCTTGGGACATCCCAGGGCACCTTCGGCTGGACGGGGGGCAGGAGAGGGAAAAGCCCCTGGGCCCTGCTAGGTCATAACCCTACAAGTCAGCCAGCTCCCTTGAGCCTAACAGGAATCGACCTGCTTCCCATGACGTCGTCATAATCCGAGTCTAACTTTGGAAGCTGTGAGACGGGAGGGCGGCCCGAGGCTGAAGGGCGACCAGCCTCCCCCTGGCACTTCAAAGACGTTGCGGATTAACTGGGTCAGCTGCCTCCGAGGAGCGGCCCCGGGTGCCAGTGGCAGCAGCAGCAGACGTGCGCTCAGCTGGCCTGCTTCTGCTGGAGCACAGAGCCACAGGCCCTCTGTTCGTGCTCAGAGGAGCTGGGCTGGCTCCGAAAACGGGCTCTGGGACAGGAGGGCTGGCAAGCTGGCCTTGAAAGGGCCGTGCCCAGGCTCTGGGGAAGGGCATTGTCTCTTGAGCCAAGAGCGCTGCTCTTTAATTCCATGATGCCTGTGTGGTGGAAGGAACCAGCTTTCAGGACGCCCAGAGGTCATCCCGTTTCCATGACTAATTCCCACTCTGGGGCCAGCCCTGTGCTGCTGAAATGGAGCTGCTGGAGGACGCAGCAGTCAGGCGAGAGCCACAGTTCCCCAAAAGGTCTACAGGTAGCCCTCACTCAACAACCATTCGTTTAGTGACCACTCGAAGTTACAGTCCCTACTGTGGTCGTTAAGCGGGAGTACCAGTATACAAGACGCAGGTCTTGCGTGTGGCTGCAGCACGCACAGGGCCGCAGAAGGGCTCAGCACCGGCCTGTTAAGGGGTGAAGAAAGGCACGTACAAAGGGCACCCTCTACGGCAGTTACGTGGCATCACAACCCGCCTGATCCATCCCTGCTCAGAGGTCCCGCTGATTTCAGGGAGATTCCAGGCGGCTTTTCCTCTGGCAGGAAACTGGGCCTGGGGCTGCCAAGAGTTTTAGTGGGTAGAGCAAGGTGGTTTCCTCAGGACGGGCACCCTCCGGTTCAGCCGCTGTATCGTATTATTGTCCGGATCCAGAGGCCAGGCCCAGAGGCGGGTGGACGTGCGGGGGCGGCGACGTTCCTGGCGCTCGGAGCACAAAGGCGGCCCCTGCCTGGCACTCGCTCGTTGCCCGGAGCAGACAGCTGCTGAGGGTCGCTTCTGCCAGACTGATTTACTGAATTTGTACGGCCGCCCAGCGCAAATGCGTGGCCGTGGGCAGCAGCTAGCAATGCTTACAACTAGTTAAAATGCTATAGGAGAATTAGGACATTATCGCAGCTGAGAGAAACCAGCAATTAACATAACCATGATATGATCTTTTGTCATTTAGGGCAGTGTTTCTCGATTTCCGCTACGTTAAGATCTGTGGACTCCAACTCCCAGGATTCCCCAGCCGGCATGAACTTGAGAAACACCGATTTCGGGTACGGGGCAAAGCTGCCCTCTTTGGTTAGTTCATGCTTCAGTGCATTGTGTCAACCGAGAACCTGGGTTAATTCAGCAGCCCAACGCGTCTCTTCTGGGCCTGTTTGCTCGCCTTCTTCCGAGACGCTTGTCCTGCCGTCCGCGTTTTCTTGGAATCACCACCGGCCA